TCAAGAAAGAGAATGTTTAATAGCTTGTTTGTTTGTTTTTTCACTTTTCTCAACAAATCAGAATAAATTTGAATGATTTTTTTCAGTCCAGGACATGTATTTTTGTAAAATGCAACTAGAAACCTGGAAGAAAGAATAATCTCATCATGCATCATTATCAAGAACATGAATGTGGTTCTAAGACCAAAGTAGAGCAAAGAAATTCACTGACAGTCCTGTATATGAAGAGAAGTAACAAAGATAGTTTCTTGCAAGAACTGGGAGCTCAGAAATCTACTCTGCGATAAGAAAGACAGTCTGAGAAACTGAGATCTTCAGCTGAGATCTTCCAGTCCTGACAGAAAGAACTCCTCATTTGAGAGGTAAAGAAAATCAAGAGATGACTTAAGGATGATGCTTTGAAATGAGAAAATTGCATAGAGACCCTGTTTGTTCAGTGGACTTGGTGGAAGCAAGCATCTCACCTTGCTGGAATTTAAGATAAAAAGATTTAAATAAAAAATATTTCAAAAGATATATTAAGCCCATGTAATATCCTTGCCTGGTTCTCATACCAAGAGCAAAAACTTACATTAACAAGGTTAAGGAGCGTACAATCACCAGCAGGTGGAATGTCATGGAAAAAATGTTAATACTGATGAAAGGAACAACATAGTTGTAGGCTGTGCAGTCAACAAAACATCTGTGCTTACCCAAGCTAAGAAATTAGGAAAAGTGACTGGGAAAAATGAAATGCTTGCATCCAATTGCAAGAATATACATAACAATGTAGAAAGTAATGGTAAACTACATAAGCACAAAGATGGTGAAATTCCACTTGAGAAGAATTATAAGAGCTATTCTAGTGCTGTAGATTACCAGACTAACATGCTGAAAGGCAATTTTATTGCTTGGAAACAGTCAACTTGCCAAACTATTTGCAGAGACATTTGTGTACCTACGTTCTGCTTCCCTCATTACAAGCTGCAGTGCTAGCACACACTGAGCCAACTCAGCAGTACAACAATGATTTATAACTAAGCAATATATTTAGAGCAAAGATCACCATAAATATATTTATAACGGCTCCATAGTTTAACCTTTAGCATGGCATTGTTAATGTATCACCTGGGCAAGTGAGACTTGGGTATAATAAAAGTTTCTTCAGTCATGTAATTAGAGAAAAAAAGAAAGAGAAAATCAGTTGCCATATAGGAAGCTTGCGATTAAGGATAATCTAGGACTGGTTAAACACCTAACAGGACATTTGTCTTCACTTTTAGGTATAATGTTGAAATGCACAGGCTGAATTAGCTAAAAGGAAGGGTGTTTTGAAATATAAATGACCATATTTGAAGTGAAAACAGTAGATTTTATTTTTCTTGATTAAAAGCTGCCAGTTAACTGCTGTCCCACAGCAGTGAAAGAGATGTTGCATGCAACAAAATCTATTTAGAATGTTTTTAATTAAACTATTGATTTGGAAGTGTCAGAGAACAAAATCCCAGTACCCAAGTTTAAGAAGGGTAATGGGAGAGCAATCCAGACTGTCATAACCCAATAATACATAGGACGTGTAATCACATTTTGAAGAAAAGTACAAAAAACATGAGGTAAATCAAAAAGCAATAGAGTCTAATAAGAGTTTTAATATCAGTAACATGGGCAGGGAGGGAGAGTAAAAAAGAAGTAAAAACTCTTCTCAGTGGTGCCCAGCAAAATGAGCAGAAGCAATAGGCACTTCTTGTTGTACTGTAAGGGTGACCAAACACTGGAACAGGTTGCCCTGAGCAGCTGTGTACTCTCCATCATCAGAGACGTTCAGAACCTGGTGTGTAAGGTCCTGGGCATCCTGCTCCAGTGGCCCCTGCTTTGAGCAGGTGGATTTAACTGGATGATCTTCAAAGATTCCTTCCAACCTCAACTATTCTGTGGTAACAGCCGTATTTTTTCCCCATTTTCACTCTGGTCCACAAGAGGAAAGATATCCTGCCTAGTGAACATTTAATAGTTGTTTCTGGGTTTAGCTAATAAAGCGGTTACCTAATAAAACAGAATGCAGTTTCCTAACTTTAAGCTCTGTATATTTTAGATACAAATCTTTCTAAACAACTAAAACACTGGACACCATTGCTCTAGGCAAGAAAGATTGGATACTAAAACTGCAGAGAAATTGCATTAATACAAATAGAAGTTGTAATTATTTCTTTTATCTGTTAAAAGTCTAATAGATTTTCGTTTATATAAGGAACACCTCTCAAATTTCCTAATAAAAACTATAAAATATAAGCATGGATTTTGGATTGTATTAGCACTTGTGAAGAAGTTTATGCTTTGTGATGCGTAACATAGCACAGTCAGAAAATACTATAACAATCTTGCCTGTAATATTTCTGTTATTTGTGGGAATGCTAGAAAACATCGTGCTCTATCTTTTTTTTTAAAAAAAAAACCAACCTGTACTAAATATTGTTCATGGCAACTTCTTTTGAAAATGCATCACAGCTTTTATAGCATGGTTGATAGTTCAATGCAAAAGCAAAAGATTCATTTTCAAAATGGGAAGTATAACCATGATTTCTTATGCAGAGCAGGTAACTGAATGAATCAAAAAGACTTTTGAGGTTACATATTAGAGGCCCTGAAACTTTTCGAAGCTCCTTTCTGACTGTACAGTGGAGAGAGACTCTGGGACACATCACCTCTCTTTACTTTCCCATGTGTTAGTTTCCATGAAGAGAAAACCCAGGCAAGTAACCCAGACAGGAGTCGCAACACATCTGAACAGAAAATGTTGACACAGCCTAAATTATATCTGTGACCATGTCTTTGCACAGATGCTTTATTTACCAGTCCAGCTGTGGTATCTTCACATCAAAATTAAGTATACAAAACATATAATTTGAATGTGTGTCTGCGACCACTGCATTTTTCATGTTTCCTATCTCACTGATTCTCAGGTCTAATTGCATGACCATCAAACTTTTAAGAAGAGGTATCTCACATAGTGGTGTCACAGAATTTCCAAATTTGTACAAGTGCAACATATTTTCCTCACTTTTTTTTAGCGTAATTTTGTATGTGTGAAAGCATGCATGCAAAAGTGTGTGCATAAGTTCTATTTGGTTTATTTTACAATGGCTTCCTGAATCAGCTTCCAATATCCTACAGATTAAGATTTTATTCAGTATAACACTGTACCTGATATTTAGCATCTTAAGAGTTATAAAATAAAACACTGTATTTTAAGCAACACTTTCTACTAAATAATTAATCAAAGACCTTCTGGTTTTAATTCTAAGAGGGAAGTAGTTGCTACAGAAAATAGAAGGGGGAAAATAGAATCAAAGTGAAGTAACTATTTCTCAAGAGCTTCTACTTGTAATTAAATTACAACGTTTATGAAGTCATGAAAGCCTGGCAAATAGGACAAACAAACATAGTCACAGGAGCCTAACAACCTAGATTTTTAAATGTTCACTTACGGCACTTGGCTTCATCATGGTTATTTGAACAGTCAGGTGTAAAGTCACAAAATTTGTCAGATGAAATACATTGTCCATCCCCACATGAAAAAAGTCCCGGTGGACAGTAAAAAGATGAAGAATTAGCATCTGCAAATTCTGTTTCCCCTTAAAAATCAGAAAAGAAAGTACAAGTAAAACCACATGTATATATAAAATTCTGAGAAGTGCTTTTTATTGTCATTGAATATAGTAATGTACTCAGCATAAACAACATAGCATCACTTATGGAGTGAGCTAGATTATATCACAACTGATAAGAAACACAGCTGATATTAACGTCTGATGCTTTTAACCTATATATTATTCTCCACAATATTCAAACTTTTGTCTGAAAAATTATCAAAAACACCTTAAAGTCGCATGGCCAGGCTCCAGTTCAGAGGCGACGTGCTCTGTACAACAGCCGTCTGTTTCTCCCAGTCAGGAGCAGGACTTTCAAAGAAGCTTTCTGCTTTAGCAGTAGTTTCACTGTGTTCAGCTCCCAATGAAAGTTCTAAGAAGCCCAAAGTTTGATGTTGCACCACTACTAGCCTTCACCTTAATCTACACATTAGAAAACACCCCAAATTTCAATGAATGTGGAAACAAAAATCTGGGGACTACTGGTTTTACATCAGTAGATTTCTGGAAAGAGAGCAAGTGAGAGGAATGACATGCAGCTTTTCATCTTTTTTGTTTAACTTAGCTTTTTTAGATACTCACATTGCTATCCAGACAGAGCTTTTTAAAAAAAAAAAAAGACGACTCCCTTCTAAAAATAACAACTTTGTGACTGATGGGTAAATAGGAAAGTTGTAGGGAAAATAATTAAAGCAAATTAATGTTTTTTCAAATACCTTGCTACCATCAATCAGACTGTATATACGGATCAGAGAAACCTTAAAAACACAACACTGAAGTTTTCTATTATGCCTTTAAATTTTCCAATAAAGAAGAAATTCAGGTATCTGCTGGGTATAACCCATCAGTATTACCACTGACTGCATCTGTGCCCATGCCATTTTAGAAAAGTAGTCATTAGTAGTCAAGAGGACCAGAAGCAGCAGTCTGACAGAAGGATATTTCCATCCATTAGTACTTCAAGGTTACAGCGTGAGTACCTAGACAAGTTTGGTGGGCACTTACTGTATGTTAGGTATTTGACAGTAATGATGGGACAACCCTCTTGCCCTAAAGATAATGTAGTGGAATTTGCTCTTCAGTGGAAGATGTAAAATGTTTTGTGTCTCTCTCTGCATCCAAGTGTGAATGTGGGCATGTACTGCATAGTAAGTGGTATCTGGAATTTCCCACCACAGCTCACTTTGGAAAACTAGTGCAAAATACTTCTAGCAGCTAGTAAGATGGGATGAGAGCCTTCATTATAGACAACTGATTACAGTATATGGACTTTTTCCTCAGATTATCCCCTACTTTCTTAAAGGTATCTTGAAGTTTTCAGTTGAAGCACAGTTATACAGAACATTGGGGAAAACTGCAAACCACAGAACTTGCCTTCACTTTCTTGGCTGACACCTGGAAGTGATTTATTCACAACTCCACATTCCTCTGTTATACTGATGTCATCAACAGCAACAGTAGCATTTGTTGTTAGAATTGTAGCTCGTAAAATGATCTGTAAAGACAAATAAGTAAGTTAGCTCATTAAAGGTGACATGATAAAAAGACATATATATATTCCTTTATAATTTATGACATCTGCACAGGAAGTAAATACTGCCTACAACCAACTCCAAATACCAGCCAGCAAAAACTACGACTGAGATTTGATCAGTCAGAAATTTACTCCTCAGCTGTCAAAGCCATAACTAGCTTTACTTATGGAAAGTTATGCAACCCAGATGACCTTGATTCAATCTAAACTGGTAAAAACCATTCACTACTTGAATGAACTCTCTTCCTGCTGGAACAGTTAAAAGTTACACGTCTTTTTAAATGAGCTATTCAGGGTTACCAGATATCATGGTTTACAACTCCATTTAATTGTGTTCATCTATACTATGCCTGCTGAAGTCAACAATGTGTGGTACAGTAAATGTAGGGATTGTAAGGATGAATTTCTAAGTACAAGGAAATATTCAGGAGACCATAAAAGGAAGTAAAGTAAGTCATAACTTACCAATAATGAATATTGTGTGCCCGTACTTTTAGACAATTTTATAGATGAGTCATAAAAAGAAGAGACCAAAACTGGAATTTTGATTTGCTGAAATCTTATATTTGAGTTACTGATTCCCCTAACAGTTCCTTTCTAAGTTTTAGTAAAGTGTAGCAACCTGAGATTATGTAAAAATAAAATTAAACTCGAAAACTGCTAATTGTTTCTGTGACTGATGCTACAAATTGAAGTATCTGCACTTCTGCTTTTAGCCAAGATAAATAGGCCCTCACTCTGAGCAGCAGTTTTTACAGCAAGTCTATTTTTTAAAAGCTACTGCACTATTGCTACTTGATTTTTATTACAAAAAGGTGATTCTAATGCATACAATACTGAAACAATGGCGATGCCCTTTAATAGCTACATCTGTTGAAAGAGCTGAATGGAATTCTTTTTTATATGAGCATTAAAGAATAGAAATTCTCTTTTTATATTTCATTATAAAAGTTAATTAATTCTAAAGGACAATTCAGAGTAATTTTTTGAAAGCAATAAAAATGTAATTTCTAATTACCTGAAAAGGTAAGTCCTCAGCTGCACCTTCTATAGGTATATTCACTTTTGTCCACTGCATCTTAGGCAATCCTGAAATGTCACACAATTTTTCCAAACTTCCATCCAGTACAGTTCTTTTAAAGACAGAAAGCTGGGAATCCTGAGATAACCAGTACCAAAATCTTATCTGTTGAAAGAGTTTTTAAGAAACACTTTAAAAACTATATCATCAATCTGCAATAAATTCAGTACCAACTCATATATGTACATTATAACACAGAATGACATGACAGGTCTAAACACAGCCTTTGCATAAAAGAAAGACCTCCATGAAACTATGGCATGCTGAGGAGCAGTATTATGTTTAAAGATAAAACCATAATTAAAAGTAAAGTTTATTTTTAAAGCTTACTCTTGTATCTATCAACTGATGCAGACCAACTGATGTGACCTACCTTAACCATTTTGGCTTAATAAGGACTTACAAACTTCTTGAAGATTATTTTTCTTTGCAAATGCTGAATATAGGACAGCTTCATAAGTATGTTAATCTCAGCAGTGCAACAGTTGAGGTATTTATATGAAAGAAACCTTATGATCTTCTATTTCCAGAATCAACACAAATTAAAATTATCTGAAGAGAGATGTTTAAAATAATCTATTGATCTCCTGAAACAAATGGATTGACCAAGATATGAAAAAGTGATGACTGTAGGTGGAGGAGGCTACAGAAAACTGCTTGCCAAGCAGAAAAGATCAGAAAACAGTGAGAATCCCAGTTCACTATGCCTCCCCTGCAACACAGAAGGAACCTGATGCATTTAATTTTTTCCTGATGGATTTAATTTTTTTTTTTTTTTTTTTTTTTTTAAATACTACCCAGACAAAAATTCAGCTGCAAACTTCAGGGAAGAAATAAGATTTTCAAAGACTAATTTTTTTTTGCTTCCCCCTCAGTCTTTCCTGCTTCTTCACATAGTGAAAGACCAAAATTTCTTGAACTGCAGACTCTTTACTTCCCTGCAACAATTTGATAATACTTGAATCTTCATGAAGGTAAAACAAGAGCTGTAAAAATAGCTCTTCCCACCCAGTTCTCTGCCCATCTTTATATGATCTTACACTGTGAATCTTGGATCATCACGCTACAGAGAGAAAGTTTCCTTTTATTTTTTTTATGTTATATCAACTTTTAAACACAGTAAAAGAATATAGACCATTTGGGGCTAATAGCTAAAAGAAAGAAACCTTTTTTTTTTTTTTTTTTTTTTTTTTGAGAGAAAAAGAAAAATGTTTTTGCCAATGCTGTGATCTGTTTGCAAGACAATAACAAATACAAGAAAACCCATCTTTAGCCTCAGGACAAACACAGATGCATGTGTTAGCCAGCTTTCAGTCAGACATGAGACAATTAAAGTCTTTTATTTGAGCAAGACAGCTGACACAATAGGCTATACAGATCATGGAAAAGCGTTGTATTAGGGACTGTAACAGGCAAAACAGCCTTAGGGTAATGGTGTAATTTTTACTTAATTTAATTTATTGTGAATTAACACAAAATTCTAATCACTGGTTGGGCTACTGAGAAAAAAAGAAAAAAGAAAACAAACACTTAAACACAATCTTGAGCAAACACCTTTACTCCCCTTTCCCCAGGCTAGTTTAAATCAAACAGCCTGCCCCCTTCCTAGTCTTAATTTCCCTAATTTTTGCTGCTCTTTCCACTAAGTCTGGCCCAATTCCTTTGGTGAGGCAACAGGTGGAGCAGGCAGTTGGCCACATGAGTAATGTTTTTTTTTTTTCTGGTACTCCCTTTGTGTTCCCCTCCTCTGCTCATTGCTTCTTACTCTTCTTCCCCTGCTTCAGCTCAGGGTTTTGAGCAACCACAGTCCCTCTAAGGTGTCCCCACCCCTGCGTGTGTCACCCACGGCCACGGTCCCTTGGGGGTGTCCCTGTCCCAGCATGGGTCACCCACAGCTGCAGTCCTCTCAGAGCCTTACCTCCTCAGCATGAACCACCTCCTTCTGTGGGTACATCTCCAGCTGTGTCCCCAGCAATGTCCCCTTCCACACCTCTCCTTCTTGTTTGTCCCCAAGAGATTTTTTTTTTTTTTTTAAAAAGGAAGTAGTAGTTTAAGAGTAACCAGAACCTGAGAGGAGTCTTTCCTTCAATAAATTATCACATTAGCATCTCTGTTAAAGCTGTAGACCCTTAGTGTGCCAACGAAGTTGAAGAACAGGACTGATGAATTTGACAACTCCTTACACTCAAATCCTTGACTAATAATCTGAAAATTATCATGCATGCGGATTCACTACCTTTCACTTCTGACCCTGAATTTAATCTATAAAATTGGCAAATACACAAAAGACACAACATCTGCTATGTATGAAGGGAGAGTTTCTTTTTGCTTGTGTTACATAGTACAAAGTAAATCAGTGGTTAGGAAATATTCTTGTTACAACACTGTTACTTTCTAATACCTTCTGGCTTCATGGCTGGTAGACTTGGTCTCTCAATTTCCCATAGTGTTTCTTTTTTCCCCACTCATGAAAGTCATGTATTACATAAAGTAATCTCATCTGTTAATAATAAATTGAAATACTTTCATGAAACTTTTCTTCCCCACCAGAAAGCTTAAGGAATACAAAGCAGCAGAGTTATACAAACACTTTTCAAAGTGAGCTGTTTGAAGAACTATACCCTAAACAATCTAGATGTAAGGTTTATATTTATCAAACAGCTTTTCAAACAAATTTGCATTTTCATTAAGTAAGAAATACAATTATCTTCTCTCTATATATCTACATGTTCTACATTGCAATGAACTCAGGTGCAAGGAGCTGCAGAAAGAAGTTACTTCTAAGCTTCAATTAGCCAGTAAGGCACAATATAAAACTGTCGTCCCTCAACTCCAACTTTCTTTCTTTCTGTCTGTTGGTTTTTGGGGTTTTTTTTGGTTTTGTTTTTTTTTTTTTTAACAACAGGAGCCAAAGAACTTGTAAAACTATTAATAAACATAGATCTCTTTATGTAGATCCTTTTATCCTCTCAGTGGGACATCCAACAGAGGGCAACATCTCACATTTATAAGCAGAGTGTATAACACACCAATACACATCCTAATGAGCAACCCCTACTCCTTGCTCTTTCCCAGAAATAAAGTCTGTGGGGAAAATATGGCAGAAAGCCAGGCTTCCAGTCTTCAAAAACACTCTCTTCTCAGACATGTACAGCTGGGTAAGAACATGCCTTAGTTTTTGTTGAATCTGGGAACTTTAAATACATTGAATACCTGCATACTCAAAATTAAAATTGGTTTCTTTTCTGACTTTGAACTAGAGAAACATATGTGCATCCCCTCTGCATTTGTATTTATTTTGAATGCAGACCAAACTCTGCAATAGATCTAACCAGAATGATTCATCGATTCACATACCAGTTGTGCTCCGTTCTCCTTAAGGGGTTCTAAGGTAAATTAATATGAACCTGAAAGGTGCTTATCTACTCGGTATCGAAGCCTACAGAAGAGATATGAAGCTGCCTGAATGAATGCACTGTGCATACAAAGGCAGTTGGTATTCCAGGAGTAATGCAACACACAGAGTTCCGATGGGATGCTGTGAGGTCTTCCATGTTCCCTGCAGCAGCATTCTGCTTGATTTCATTCTGCATCTATTTCTGATTCTTTAAAACACTAAGAACTGAGAGAGTGCATTAAATGACAGCAAGGCATTGTTCTTAAATTGTTTAAGAGGCCTCTACTCAGCTGCAAGTTGCAATTATTGAGCTGAGATACAGTGACTCATTGATGTGCATAGTCCAAGTCAACTACAGTCTCAAGTAAAACAGGTTTATCTAAGCCAACAATTGTTTCAGGTCCCTTACACTAGAAAAAACCTAGAAGCCTATGGAATACAATTCTGCTATTTGTTGAGCCTTCTAAGTGCAGTTCCTCCACACATTGTTTTCTGGCATTTTTATTTTTGAAAAAAGTTTTCCTAAGTGAAAGTACAGTTTCTGTTCTACATTGAGTCTGAAAAATTAAGCACCCAGTCTAAATTTTATTTTGTTTCTCTAAAGCCTCTTTGTGCCACTGAACATAATAAAATTATTTTGGCAAGCTTTCCCTATCTTTTCCGTTTCTTCTCTGTGACTTCTTAAACCAGGAGGCATTATGCAATAGCAGAAAAAACATGACATCATAACTACACAGCTTAGCTTCTCCCCAATATGGTATCATCTTTGAAAAGTTATGGAATGGAAAACAATAAAACCCTCATGAAAAAAAAAAACCAAAAAACAACCTTATAAAACCATACAGCATCTATTCACTTTATTCAGTGGCCAAAAGGATAAACAAAAATACAGTTGGGAATGTTTTCTTGTATGTATATTTCTTCAATAATATAATTACATATATTTAATATATTTATTCAAGTTCTGATTTAAAAATACATATTTTGTTGGAAATTCCAACATTCTAGTTATGAAACTGTATTTTCATTTTTTATCTAAGGCTTTTCTATTTTTTAGCCCTCCTGATCCATTTTTTCCAGGTAGCTTTCTAGTTTCTCAGATCAACCACCATCCTGGCTGGTTGCTTTTGCATTCCACTGCAGACCCACAAGATATTTGACAAAATAAGCATTTCAAAGTAAACTCTCAAGTACTACACTGATAAGCTTAAAAAGCATCCTTGTCAAACCATGGAATAAAATTTAGTCTGGAGCATGGTAGCTAATTCTCCGCAGTCACACCAACACAGTTAATCTATATAGTGACTTCATACTACAGGTGCCCTGTTATGGGACATTGGATGCATGAATCTTTCCTGCCTACAGACGACAGCATGACTCTTTGTCAGCTTTTGCCCAAAAGGCAGGCTGCTTTGACTGTGAATTGATAAGTCCCCGATATTGTTGCACAGCTAGGTTTGTCACAGCATACAAAAACCGGAAGCACAGCCTTAAATTTGAGTTACCTAGTGGATGCTTTAGAAAGAATAATAATCAGGTATAAAAATTTGGCAGCAAAGCAGTAAAAAGCCTGCTGCATCTCCCTCCTGCCAAAGAATTAGTCTGCAACTCCTTCCACTGATATTGAAATGGAGCCAGTTTTTCAGCAGCAATATCTATAGCATGAAGAATACCATATCTGCACATCAGGTGAGCGATAGCTTAGAAAGGTGGGGACAGTTAATATCAAACTGTTACCTGACAACAGGAAGGCCCAGGGGAGAGCTTGACAAAGAAAGGGCTCCCCAGATGAGACACGGCCATCTTGGTGTTCATCTGATGCGATCCACTGAAGTAAATGAATGCTCCTGTAAACAAAAATCAAAGAAACATGAGAAATATGTCGCGCTCCAATGGCAAACAGCTACCTCAGAGAGGTAACTATGTGCTCCATGAGGCACCGAAGGTTTATTTATAAATGTAAATGAAACAGCTTTGCTGTCAGTTCACTCTCTGTCAATAACGAGGAGGGTCTTCTAACAGGCTGTGACAACCAGTTGTCTACATAGGCAAAGACAAAATAGAATTGCTAAATGCTCTTGCCTCTTTCCTCTGCAGTAAAATTAACATGACTGAGTCCAAAGATGAGAAAAGAGGGGGAAGGAAAGAACGGTATTTGGGCAGCCATTGCTAAGGCTACCCTGCCACAGTGCCTGCAAGCACTTAAACCTGAGGAAGTAAATACAGAGCCCTGCAAAAGGAGTTCAGATGTTGCTCCTGTGAGGGTTTTACTGTGCAGACCCACTGGATATATTTTTTTATCGGCCCTCTTCAGGCAGAAACCTTAAGACATCCATCCTCCAAACACTACAGCTGCTTCCTATCACCTTTGCACAGTGCCCTTCTGCTCTCTGCACAGGCTGGGGAGAACGAAGGGATTGCAGGAGCTGTAACACAGAGCACCCTGGAGCTCAAACAGCACAGACTTCAGCTGGGATCCCTAAAGGACACATTTTAATTGGCTTAAATAATGTTTCAAATAGAATTTAGAACAAAATTTAACTTCCTTTAGGGTACAGTATTCACTCTCAGCGCAGCCAAGCCAGTTTTAAGCATGCTAACAATGTTGCAGACCATGGGAGCCAATGGAATAAGCTATATTTTCTCATGGGGTCCAGACTTGACATTGTTGTCTGTGCTAGTGGGGATGAAAGCTTAATTAAAGATCTAATCTGAACTCTGGCAAACGAACGGCCTTTGGATTTGAACTACAGCAGATGTGCTTCAGACAAAGGTAGGGAAGGATAAACATCTTCAAGGGGCCCTAAAGCAGCATATTTTGAATGCCATCAGTGCTGCCTTGGCTGAATAGTGAGACTTTTTCATGAAAGTCTATGCAAAACAACACTAAAGGCTCAGTCTTGTTTGTGCATTGATATTACACATATTGCCTTACATCTTGGAAAATCAGCTATTGTGCTGCCACAGTCACACTCCTTAGCCATTTATTTCCCATGGATACATAATGAAGCAGAGGGTTAAGTCCAGCCCCATGTGAATAATCACATCGCTTTAGCAAGTCTGGCACAAAGAGGTGACCGTTACAGCTCCTGGTACAAACAGGCATGCTGTGCTCCGCAGCACGAGGGAAGCTCCCCTCATTGGAATGCAAGGGTACTTCAAAGGATCCTCTTTTAATTTGCAGCTGAGGCTCTACAGTAGCCTTGTTAAGATCTTCATTAATCAAAATTTGCTGCTGCCCTCCCCAGGAGAGAAGAGAAACAAACACTCTGCGGTATCACTAGCAACTGTTGCAACCTGAAGGACCTTGATTTAACGTTGGCAAAAACTTGCTTAAAATTCTGGGAGCCTAATTCTAAAGCCACAATGCAGCTGTAGCAGGCACAGTGATAGATAGGTAAAAAACCACCTCAGAAAGAACTTTGCATTAACTTATATGGGGAATGCATCATTACTGGGCTTGAGAGGTGCTGCATGGTAACCTCAAGATCTGCTCGAGGCTTCAACCTGCAGCAACATATAAAGGTGTGAACCTAACTTATAATGATTCAGGCATCGAAGCAGCTTAAGTGCAGCGGCACATAGTTCCGTATGGGCTAATTTAATATGCTGCTTAGGCTGCAGAGCAGATGTTTCTACCAGCAGCCTTCATTATGACCACATTACACCTCTAGATCTCACCAGCACCTAGAATAACCCACATGGGAAAGGCACAGGCATATCAGTGTCCTTCTCTGGAGCTGTGATAGTCTGGAAGCTGTGACACAGTAATGTTTGCAGACGATGCAGTAATGCAGACCCAGTGCCATTCTACAGAGACAATAAAATGAAATATCAAATAGCTGCTGAGAAAGTGAATAGCAACTTTGGTGCACTTCATCACTTGGACAGCAATGGAAAAAAAGGTATTTGATTGTGCAGTTAGGGTTATTATATTGCATACACACACATACTCACACTCCACCAGGGTTTGCTCAGGCAAATTTTAATCCTCGAATTTCTCTACCTTTGAATGCTCAAGGCAGAATACTTAGTATTTCACGTTCCTTTAACATGAGCATGGGAGAGGAGTGTGGCAGTCTGGCTGAAGGTGATAGACATCACGAAAAAAAATTAAAGGGGATTGGACAGTAACCCAGATTTTAAAGTAATCTAATCTCCACTGGAAGCAGTGTAATAGGTACATTTTAATAAAATTAAAGTAACAGAATATTTGCCAATATTGTTTGACAACAGCAAACATGCAAGGCAGTTTTAGTTGTATACAGTATGCTGTAATAACATTTTCATTTTGGAAAAATACTTTAAAACAGTCCTCTACTGGAATAAACTTTCAGGCTGAATGCACTATATAGCAACTATGGGCTGAAGGAAGAACTGTTCAAAGGATATTACACTCACTCTATTTTTCCCAGACAAAACTTATTAATTTACCTGCACTCTACAAAAAGCTACAGTGATATTTCGTCCAAATAATATTTTCAAGAACGGCCCCTATGTGAATACTAGGTACAAAGATACATCTGATATATGTGAACAAAGTTAGCCATGTCACTTCAAAGGTCAGCATCTCAAAAAACTGAAGGCTGGATCAAGTCTCATACATCATTGATTGTTCCAGCAGAAAATGAACGTTAAAAAGGCATAGTAACAAAATCACATTTAAGAAAGAGCATCCCTGAAAGACTAGCTTTCTGTACCATTACCTATGTGTCCTGGTTTCAGCTGGGATAGAGTTAATTTTCTTCCTAGTAGTAGGCATAGTGCTGTGTTTTGGATTTAGTAGGAGAAGAATGCTGATAACACACTGATGTTTTAGTTGCTGAGTACTGCTTATGCTAGTCAAGGACTTTTTCAGCTTCCCATGCTCTGCCAGGTACACAAGAAACTGGGAGGAGGCACAGCCAGAATAGTTGATCCAAACTGACCAAAGTACTATTCCATACCATATGACGTCATGCTCAGTATATAAACTGGGGGGGTTGGCCCGGGGGGGCAGCAATCGCTGCTCAAGGACAGGCTGGGTGCTGTTTGGCAGGTGGTGAGCGGTTGCATTATTTGTTTTTTCCTGGGTTTTGTTCCTCCTCTTGTTGTTTTCCTTTTCACCATTTTTTAAATTATTACTGCTACTACTACTATTATTATTATTTTATTTCAATTATTAAACTGTTCTTATCTCAACCCATGAGTTTGTTTCTTTCTCAACCCACAAGCTTTCTCACTTTTACTCTTCCGATTCTCTCCCCCATCCCACCACGGGGGGAGGGTGAGCGAGCAGCTGCATGGTGCTTGGTTGCTGACTGGGGCTAAACCACAACACTATGTTGTATACATACTATGTAGCATCCATCTCAAACCAGTTTTTATTATCAGTCTGTAACCATTTACAAGTACAAATACTCATCACAGAAGGAGGAAAATAATCATAATAAAAGAAACCTCACCATGTCCACTGTTAGTTGTATGACCTCTGTATGACCTTCTGTCAAAGGGAGCCTGTTCTTTCATTATGTTCCAGTCAGCATCACCTATGCTTAGTGGCTTCCATCCACAGAGGTCAATCTCAAAATCACATATAATGTAATTAGCTGTTGTAAGAAGAACAATAAGAGATCATTAAGTTGAATTGACTGCAACAGTTTAATGCCAGAACTATGACTATTTTGTATTTGGATGTACAAGGAGTCTTAAAGAAGTGCTGGTATGTTTCACTGAAATCCAGATTATTCAGATGGACAAAAAGTTTTAGAATACAGGTAACAGATCAGGCAGGCCCTTCTCTTCCTAATCAAACTCAGAGCCACAAAGGAAATCACCTATAAGAGAATAAACTATATCATATTAAAAATGAGACCTGTACATTGATTGCTGACAGATTATGAAAGTAATATTATATATTTTTAAAAGATAAATTTTACTGGAAAGTTAATTATGGATGTGTGGAAAAAATAAAATGTATTTAGTGCTTTAAATACACTGAAAGTAAAGATGAATTAAGCTTCCACTTAATTTATTTTTGAAAATGAGATTTAAATTTATGAATTATTTAGGTCTCCTAGAAATTTTTATTGCAAAGTAAAAGACCATTCTCTCAGTTGGCATAGAGTAGACTGACTTAAACTGTATAACAATCTCACACATTTTTTCATTTCTTCAGCAAAATTAATTATTTTGATAAGAAAATAGTGTAATCTAAGAGTTTTCTTTCCTAGTCCAGAACAGCTCCACAAAGTGCTACGCTTAACTCTTTGGGTCACTTATCGTAGTTGAAAAATGGCTTTTGAACTTTTTCCAGAATTCACGGCACATTTATCCTATCATATCAGACTCAGACATGATTATACATGTTACTCCAATTTTCAGGTTGCACAAAACCAAAATTAAATGCATCTTTGTTGAAGCACCATGGCAGTAAAGCTCCATAGTAAAGGTCGTCTTGGTATAAAGAGGTTGGTTGAGCAGTTAAATCTTAAGGTACAAAATAAATCACAAATATCAGTATCTCTCATCTAGATTCACTATATACATTAAAATTCAATGAAGCATGCTTTTCTGTTTAGTGCACTATATTAGTTAAACATGAAACTTGGTTAACTTATTTAATTACAGAATTCTCATGCTTTTGAAAAGGTACCTTGTTAATTAAACCTTCAATTGCTAATACATTAAGGTAGAATATGCAAATCGATATCCAAGACTAAGCTGTTTTGCTGTATGGTAATTAATACTATGTCTAGACATTGTGCTTTCCTCAGCTAAGCAGTCTTGAGAGAACCAATGTGACACAAAAAAGCAAACATTTTTTGCTTAAACATCTCTTTCTTTTGGCCTGCCTAAACCCTGCAAATGGTCTGCTGCGTAAGAAGCTGACTGCAGTGACTGCATAGTAATATCCAAAAAGACATCAATAAATGACCACATAGACGCAAATAACATACTCTGTTGTATACTAAGCAACCAAAAACCTGTTCCTGGAAGGAAAATGCCAGGCCAAAGTTAAAATAATGGTTTAAATATGAAAGAGAAATCAAGATGGTACTAATGATTAATATTTTACAGCTCAATAAGGTATTTAGCATGGGATTTTCTTTTTTAAATTATTGTTTTATTTTAATTAGAGGTGCTCAAGACCATGAGAAGAGTTATTGCAATATGAAGAACAACACTTTTCATGTGCTGATGACCCCAGATCTGTTGTCATTTAATGTGGCTCAATACCAGGCTCACGGTTTTTCACTGGCTCATAGTGAAAAGCTGACTGTTGAAGCTACATTTGGAAATTGTATACTAAAAGAATTGGTGAAGCAGCAAGGTTGTGATCAGACAGAGTCCGTCACTGCCCTTGATAGTCAACAGGAAGAGAGAAGGCTGGTGAAATCATCATTTGCAGCTCCAGTTCGTTAAATGTGATAATGTTGACTACATTTCAGATGTTACTTTTTTTTATTTTCATTGCACCTGTCATTTAAAATGACAAGCTTTATTCAAACATCCAGTCATGCAGAGACACTGGGCCAGAGTAACTTACCAAGCCCAGGCGTTCCACCATATATAGTTTCTGGAAGTGATATTTCATTTTTAAAAGTATTAATATGTTAGGGAACAGCTAGGCTACAAATATGAGTGAAACCCAATTGTCTAAGTTAACAGTTTGACTTAAATTTTATCCCTACTTAATTCTAAAAACTTAAGGGGTGCTTGTTAGTGTTTAATTAAGCTTGAAAAAAAGGTTATGTGCTTTGGCTGAAACTCAAATCCAAGTGAGACAGTTTCTTGGTGTATATTTTCATTGATCTAACATTAATAAACTTTTAGAAATGCTCCTTTTCCATCGAAACAGTGCATAATCTTTATTATTCACAACCTTTTTCTACATTTTTATTTGAACCTTCAAGTGATTAAGGAAATGTCTCACTATCCATAGTTGAAAAATAAGTGACTGCACAACCTATATTTTTTGAAGAGTCATACTACAGTTATGCAAGTTAAACAAATGTAAAGCATATTTCTGATATATTATGTCCTTTCCTACTGCACCTCTTACCATGAGAGGTTATGTTTTTTTACTTCACTGGGAAGATTTCACTGGATTGAAACTGCAGGAAGATTTTCCACATTCTGAAAATAAAACCAGTCAATTCTCATTTTTGGATATTCATCTATTTATAATTCAGAAAAACAGAAAGGAAATTAGAAAGGAAACAACAACCTACATTAATTTTAATAACAAGCCAAATTTGAAATTTTTTTTTTTTTTTTAAATTTTTTATGTGGGTATATCAGTATATCTCAGCTACTCAGGAAGTAAATTATTACACCAGTTCTGCAAAAACAATGACTCTGGGATGTAACCAGGAGAAAAAAAAAAAAATGTTCCCCAAAACATCTCCTTGAATTTCAGAAACAATAAGTGGGTCTTACTAAAGCCATAAAATACACTGGAAAGATTTTTCAATTAATATGAATCATTTTTCCACGTTTGGTTTTTTTTGGTTTTTTTAAAGAAACAGGAAACAAAGCACATATTACAAGAGCACTGGGAGGTTAAATGGGAATGTTTTTCCTTTGACTAGCTTACTCTACCTATCCCAGCTACTCTTGATCCTGCTGGGGGAAAAACAAAGCAGTCCTGTTAACTAGGCTGGGCTACCAGCTAATTAACATTGCTTCAACTTTGCTAGCCTGCAACTGGATGAAGGTTTTCAATCCTACTCTGGCAGCTCAATCAAAGGAATGCAACTGGGGACACAGCTTGTCTGTCCCTCAGGTCAGTGTTTCCCTGACTAATAGTATTGAATGAGAAGGGCTGCTGCCCTCGCTCAGTGTGGCAGCACCCAAGCTCCTATGGAATTTGGGGTATAAACTATCTATATGACCAGTGACCAAAGCACCTCTGTGCAATTACTTTGTCATTAATATTTTGTCATCTCTGGCTACCATTTAATGTCATTTTGGGAAAGGGAAGGGTTATGCATATACCTTCTTACTGACTATTTGTGCACATTCCCTACCAATTTGTGATTAGTTCTATTTATCCAGAATTTGTTAAAGGATTCATGCAGAAATGTCACAGACGGCCATAGGTCAGCTAGCCTGACTCTGGCTACCATTTAATGTCATTTTGGGAAAGGGAAGGGTTATGCATATACCTTCTTACTGACTATTTGTGCACATTCCCTACCAATTTGTGATTAGTTCTATTTATCCAGAATTTGTTAAAGGATTCATGCAGAAATGTCACAGACGGCCATAGGTCAGCTAGCCTGAACTTCCATATGTCATAAGTCATTAGACAGATCTCTCATAACACCCAAGTCCCTTAGGTGAAATGGCCTCATCTACTTCAGAAACCATGCAGTTACCTTGCTTAGGGTTAAGAGACTGGTGGTGTTGAGAGAATCTCAACTCGACTCTGCATGTGCAGAGGGCACACTTACTTTGAGTTAACTGTTCTGGTGAAACACAAAGGCAATGCTACACAGCATTCATAAGCAATGAAGAACTCTGTGAAAATAACATAGGTGTAGCTTCTTTTTCTCCACATGTACATACAAGATTAATGGACAGATACTGACAATTTCAGACAATTAATGTGTCACAGGAAACACATAAATGTGTAGTAAAACAAATGTTTCAGACTGAAAAAAACTTTTTCTACTTTGAAGTTGAATGGTAATAAAAGGACTTGCATATGTGTTCATCTGTTGTAGAAGGTTTCAAGGATTTGTATTTGTAAATCACTATACTGTAAATGAAATGCAGTCAAAGGTACATGGCTTTAAAACTATACAAGTTTCCTTCATTCTACATATTTTCTATTCATAAATTATACAATCCTATAAAAGGATGAGAATATTTAAGCTAATACTAGAGATGCAAAATTAAAACCAAAAGAGTTAAAGACAGGTGTTTTAAGGAAGCTTCTAATTAGGCTAAATGGAAGGTGATGTTCTTTCAGAAACAGCTGTAGGATGTCTGTCCCACTCCACAGTCATTTGAATCTACTTGAATGCAGATAAGTAGACAATTTCCAGAAACACTATTGTATCAAAGCGTGGTACTGCTTGAAAATAGCAAACGCTTCCTAGACTTCTTGCCAAGTTGCTAGGATTCCTAGCTACTGTTTCATTTGTGACGTTTTAATAGGTATTGTGTATGTTACATATAAATAATGTATAATAATAGTAAGTATAGTGCTTGAAATATTTGTTATTTGGCATAGCATTTAGTGCAAAACTTCCTTTATATTAGGTAGAAAATAAAGAGGACCATCAAATCAGCATGAAAGGGGTCTTTTTAGTCCTTCAAATGATCTCACTTTCTCTGTTTTCAATGTATTAACTAGGTTTTGATCATTTATTATCAGTCACTGTGAAATAAGAAAATTAGAAGTGAACTCAAATAAGTGGTGTCAAATAAAACATAATGAAAATGTAGAATTTAATACGAAAAAACATCAATATTTCATAATCTGTCACTTCATTAGATTCATTGATTTCAATAAAACTACTCAAAGGTGGTTACTCATGTGCATAAGTGTTTCCTAGACAAGTCTCTAGTTTTCTGAGACTTTTAAGTCTCAAATACTTAAATATATATTTATATAAATGGGCAGAGATTAAACAGAAAGTTTAATATATTTTTAATATATGGTTTAATATATTTGTTCTTGTAATAAATTGCATTGTTATAAGACCATTCATGCCAAGCTAACATTAGCAAAGAGAAACATTATTTTCCCTTCCCCATTACAATGAAGCAAAGAAAATCCTCAAAGAGGGAAATCCTTCACATTCCTAAGTAACAGCTGTCTGCCTTTGTTTTCATTCAGCATGAGATCTGTCAGCTCTTCCAATACATGAGAGTACTTCATCAAAGGAAACTACTGAGGATGTGCCCAAGGATAGGTGCTAAAACTCCTAAAAGAACAGAGGCTAAAATATGCATTACTGTACCAGATAGGAATTTTTACTGAAATTTAATGTGAATAAAAGTAGTGCACTCTAAATATCATGGAGGACAATTTCAAGATCATGTGGAAAATGTACATAATGGGAGGAAACAAAGAAAGGACAGAAATAAAGGGTGATTTTTTCCTTTAGTTCTCTTTTGTTCAAGACTGCAGAAAGTGTCAGAAAGATGAATTTTCTAAGCCAATCAATCTGCTGAAGAGCTAAATTCCACTTTGAGGGTCCTCTTTCCTGAAAATGAGTGTGTGAAGTGTCCAAGACAATATTAGCCATAAAAATGAGCCAACTTTAAAAACAGTTATTGTTATTTAAAGGTGGCTATTTTTTTCTTTTCTTTCTTCTCAGCCAGTAGTCAGAGCAACATGCAACTTTTATTACTTACTCATATTTTAGAAAAGCACCTTTTTTCACCCCTTTTTGGGAGGATGGGAATACTTTTGTGCACAGCTCCAACAAAATGATACACCTTTAACCTGCGAATGCCTCAACACAGAGGGAAGCACACAATCCCTATGTCTCAGTTTCAACTGAGTGTGATATTTTCTTTCAAATACACTAGGAGTTAGTGGAGAATGGGTGCCCTGTGCTAAAACAAAGGTAACTGCAGAGACAGCAGCAGACAGTGGAGTGCTAGGAAGAGGTACTGAAGAAGGTTTTGCATTGGCTGAGCCTCCATCAGTCCTTGCCCCAGCACTCTAATTCTGGAGGTGCCACAAAGGACTGTGTTGAGATCCCCAGGCCATTCTGACTTTTTTTTTTCCACCCACTACCTAGTTTTTCTGACCCATCCACATGAGCATGACAAAAACAATATTCTCAAGAGGGAGTCCCACCGTGATCTTTTTTTAACTCTAAAATACTGACTATATCTAAGTTATTTCATCTTTTAGTTACACAATGCCAAAGTCCAGTATCTGAGGCACAGGGGTAAAAATAAAATAAGAAAGTGTAATGCATTGCATGTAAAATATAATTGCCTGTAGGTCTTTAGAGTTATCTTTATTTTCACTTTGTGTAGTACCGTAAACAGCTACCCTTCAACTGGGACAATTATTTTTCATCCTCCTTTTAAGTCTTAAATTTATTCTCCTATATTCCCAGTCATTATTCACCACAATTCTTTCACATTGTTACTGAAGTGGGAACCCTAAAGAGCTGAGAAATAAAATCCAATTTATAAAATAGTATTCACTTTCATTCCATCCCTCTTCCTAAAGAGCATGAGAGGACTCTCTGCACTACTACCAGCACACACACAGAGTGAGCAGCACAGGGTCAAGTCTTGTAAAAAAGAAAAACAGATGTCAAAGAGGGATCCCCTGTAGACTTTAATGTTGGCTTAGACTCCACTCAGAGATAAAACAGCATAAACCTTGCTATTTAAAATGTAATTTCAACATTTGCACATATTACTCGTTTCAGAAATGGCTCATGCATGGCTATTTAAGTGATTGAAAAGATTAAAGGTTCAGACTGTGAGTTAAAAAAAAAACCTCATAGTCACAAATAGTTCCTCAAGTCTTCTCAGGAAAGTACCTCCCTTTGAGTGGGACACCTCTCACAGCTGGCAACTCTTAAAGTTTGCTAAAATCAGAGGTCTATCACCAAAGACTGATGGTGGAGCCTGGGATGAAACCCTCCACTCCTTGAGGCTCAACCCTCACCCATTGAGAAATGCAGAGACATTTGATGTATTTCACTGAACTTGAGGGGAATTTTTAACAGGTATACCGTATATATATATTTATATGTGCATTCTTGTCTGTGTGTATGCATGTGTGAATCAGTTTAAGTAGTCTGTAGGTGTATGATTTAATTACAAAGTAAGTCTTATACTGCTGCATTATCCTTATTCCTATAAACCGTTGACCAAGTCTGAGACTAAGATTGGACCTAGCCGCCCCCAGACTCCTCTCTGAAAAGGAGTTTAGAAAGCAAGGGGGTCTATTCTGAACCTTGTGACTCAACAGGAGGGTCCTCCTTATCCCCTGCATCCACGATGTCTCTGTGAATCATTCCAACTCAGTGTAACTTAATTTTCCTTTATGCACTTCCATGTAGTAAGAGTGAACCTTGCCATCTTCAAATCTTTAACTAAGTCACTGTTTTGATCAATTTTGTCTAATTACTTTGTTAACCACTGATGATTGAGTGCTATTAAAATATCACAATCAAATCCTGTGATTTGCCAAGAGTAAATTCTAAACTGCTACTAAACCGAACTGTGTAAAGTCACTCATTCATGATAAATCAACATGATCAGTAGGATTCACAAACCAGCATTTGCAACAAGGGGTTATAAATGTTGTATGTAGAGAATACATTTAAGAAAAAATATGGAAAATGTTGTATTCCTGCAGACACTTAAAGAATTACTATCTGGATCCAAAACATATTGATGAGGTCAGACAGAGAAATAGAAAGCAATGGGAAGAAGAAAAATCCATGACAGAAAATGCTATGAACACTGTCACTAACCTGTACATCATTAAATATTCTGGTAAAAATAAGCCATATAACTAATAACTAAGTTTTTTAGCCATTTCTTGGATAGACCTGTTTAGGTTTCACAATACTCTTCAGCACAATGTCCTTCTAAAGCAAAGCACTTACAGCAGGTTGCTGGATCCTCATCGCTGCCGTCAGAACAATCTACGTGAGAGTCACAGGCTGATCCAGGCTCTGTGGACTGCCCGTCAGTGCAGGTGAATTCCTCCAAGGAGCAGAAACCTGGTGGGTCTGATGGTTTAGCGTCCAAGAGCTGGATGCTATTCAGACAGATGAACCCTGCCCTGCTCTGGACTGATCCTTTAAACATAAGCTGTGGATTGTTACAGTTAAAATATTTGCATTAACAGACAACAGAGAGAAACTGATTTTTATTTCCATAAAAGAGTAATGACCTATGTGTAAAAAGCACTGGATACTTTCCATTACAAAACCATGACAGATTGCACACCAGAAGCTGAAATTTTGTATGACTACCTCAGCTTGAATTTTGTGAAAATTTTCAGCTAAAATGATTTGACGAATGAGCTGCAGTGATCATGCATTGGTGGAGTTCATGCTCCTGAGGAATATGGGACAAGCGAGGATTACAGTCAGGACACTAAATTTTAGAAAAGCAAACTTCCAGCTCTTCAAGGAGTTAGTCAGAAAGACCCCCTGGGAAACGGCCCTCAGGGACAGGGGAACAGAACAGAGCTGGCAGATCTTTAAGGACACCTTCCATAGAGTGCAAGAGCTCTCTGTCTCCATGTGTAAGAAATCAGGCAGCGAAGGAAAGAGACCAGCACGGCTGAGTTGAGACCTGCTGGTCAAACTAAAGAGCAAGAGGGAACTGCACAGGCAGTGGAAGCAGGGACAGGTATCCTGGGAAGAGTACAGGGAAGCTACTCATGGGGTGGGGTCAGGAAGGCCAAGGCATGGCTGGAGCTGAATTTGGCAAGGGATGTAAAGAATAAGAAGGGCTTCTACAGGTATGTCAACCAGAAAAGGAAGGTTAAAGAAAGCATACCCCCCCAATGAACAACAATGGCAACCTAGTATCAACAGACAAGGAGAAGGCTGAAGTACTCAACAACTTCTTTGCCTCAGTCTTCACCAGCAACCTCTCTCCTCACCCCTCCCGAGTCAATGGACTGCAAGACGGGGACCAGGGGGGTAAAGTCCCTCCCACTGTAAGGGAAGATCAGGTTTGAGACCACCTGAGGAACCTGAATGTACATAAGTCTACGGGACCTGATGAGATAGATACATCTCAGAGCCCTGAGGGAATTGGCTGTTGTAGTTACCAAGCCACTCTCCATGATATTTGAAAAGTCATGGCAGTCCGGTGAAGTCCTGGAAGAAGGGAAACATTGCAACCATTTTTAAAAAGGGAAGAAAGGAGGACACTGGGAACTACCAACCTGTCAGCCTCACCTCTGTGCCTGGGAAGATCATGGAACAGATTCTCCTAGAAGCTATGCTCAAGCACATGGAGGACATGGAGGTAACTTGAGATAGCCAGCATGGATTCACGAAGGGCAAGTCCTGCCTGACCAACCTAGTGGCTTTCTATGAAGGAGTGACTGCATCAGTGGGCAAGGGAAAAGCAATGGATGTAATCTATTTGGACTTCTGTAAAGCCTTCAACACAGTCCCCCACAACATTCTTCTCTCTGAATTGGAGAGATATGGGTTTGATGGGTGGACTGTTCAGTGGATAAGGAACTGGCTGGATGGTCGCATCCAGAAGGTTGTGGTCAATGGCTTGATGTCCACATGGTGACCAGTGACAAGTGGGGTCCCTCAGGGGTCTGTACTGGGACTGGTGCTATTTAACATCTTCATCAATGACACAGACAGTGGGATCAAGCACACCCTCAGCAAGTTTGCAGATGACACCAAGCTGAGTGGTGCAGTTGACACACCAGGAGGACGAGATGTCATCCAAAGGGACCTGGACAAGCTGGAGAGGTAGGCCTGTGTGAACCTCATGAGGTTCAACAAGACCAAGTGCAAGGTCCTGCACATGGGATGGGGCAACCCCTGATAATCAATACAGGCTGGGGGATGAAGAGATTGAGAGCAGCCCTGCGGAGAAGGACTTGGGGGTACTGGTGGATGAAAAGCTGGACATGAGCCAACAAATGTGCACTTGCAGCCCAGAAAGCCAACTGTAGCCTGGGCTACATCAAAAGAAGCGTGGCCAGCAGGTCGAGGGAGGTGATTCTGCCCCTCTACTCTGCTCTGGTAAGACCTCACCTGGAGTCCTGTGCCTAGCTCTGGATCCCTCAGCACAAGAAGGACATGAACCTGTTGGAGTGGGTTCAGAGGAGGGCCACAAAAATGATCCGAGGGCTGGAGCACCTCTCCTACGAGGCTGTTCCAGGGACTGTCTGGGAAATGGCCAATTTGCTTGAGTCAAAACCTTACCAGGGACCATGCTAATGTTTTAATTATATGGGCTATCACATGGCAATCCTTGGGCCTGTGTCCTGTCCTTGTTTATTTTACTGCTATTGGCATAGATGTAGAGATTCAAGGAGCGTTTCTCTCTCCTACAGAGTTTCCTTGTGCTGACCAGATTTTACACAAGCTGATTTAGAACAATGAAGTTTCAGAACACCTCTTGCTCCTGGCCACTGCGGAGCCCAGCTCTACTGTCTCTCAAAGCAAGGAGATTACCCAACTTGTGCTCTCCAAGTTTCTTTTACCTGAGCTAAAGGAACAAACAGGAGGCAGCAAGCTTGGATTCACCAGAAGGCAATGAAAGAAAGAACTGAGAGACAAGAGCAGTAGTTGGAGGAACAAATCAAAAATGGAGTTGTGGGTTTTGACAGGCTAGGACGTGGCCAGAGTGCGAGTCTCTGAAAGTAGTCATGTGCAAGAGGGAAAAAGCACAGTGCAAGGAAAGCTGGAGAACAGTTTATGCCAAAACAGAAGGAAGCTAGAACAGACATGACTTGAGGCATAAGCAGAAGGCTCTGACACTCCCCAAAGCCTGGGAATTAGGCTGGAGTGAAATCTCAAGAGGCATTTTTCTTTCTAAGAAATAAGAATGATATACGTCATTATCTTCCACGAGAGACAACTTCTTGAAAATGACAAAAGCCTTCTAATACTATTCATTCTCTACCAGCTCCAACAGCAGAATGCCATACTGAAAACATTACATAATCACATAATTAAGATAAAGTATCTTTCCTTCCCTAAGCACAAGTGATCCTTGCCGTCTTTGTACAAAAAATGCATAGGGTTGGCTTTCTACATTTATATATACAATCTCGGCAACCTTTTGTTTGTTTATTTTTACATACTATAGGTAGTCTTATTACACATCTGGTCATTTATTCACACTTGTCCTTGTGGGAAAAGGAGACACAGGCAACAACAGGTACTTACAATCTACTAGCTTGCTGAAATTCTAATATATGACAAAACCACCAATGCCTGCAGTTGGCTTAGTCTTTGTCCCTTCACAGAGATGCCATTTTCAGCTGATTGTTGAGACAGTAAAATATGATGGTTATTTACAGAATTATGAAAAATAATTGTAAATGTAAAATTGCTGAAAATAGAAACCTGTAAATTAACTTAAGAATTAAGTAAGTGCAAATTTGCATTCTTCTCTATGCCTGCAAATTCAGGGGGAGCATATTCTTTCACAATTACTGGTTTACATCATTCCACTGAAATCCCACAAACATCATTCACATCATCTCATTTAAATGAGTTTGTAATACCTGAGATGGACTCAGATATCTGACTGCCTAAAATACGGTGAGATTTGTATTCATTTTCTTGCATGTTATTAAAGACCAGCTGCTTCGTGACTTTTGTGTAGGTGTTCTGTTGAACTATAACCAGAATTTTACCCACACTGAAGCAATGAAGAACAGCAAGCCTTTCAGGATACAAATCATTTTAGCAAATTTTTAAGTTTCGTAGAAGCTTTATAAACAACAGGGTAAAACATTTTCAAAAATTGAGCACACGTCTTTTTCATTCATACCTTTAATTTTCCTAGTCCTGTTGGTAGCTGTATATCCACTTTGACCCATTCCTTCTTAGTCATGATGTTGGTTTCCCACAAGATACGTTCCTCCTGTAAGATGTAGAATATGATGTTATACAGCTAATTTTTATTCCTCTGTAAATTATCAAAGCCAATTTTTGTCCTCGGTCTCCTCATATCCTAGCCAAATGACCACTATATACAAACTTGCTCTATGTGAGGACATACAGCTTCACATATTCATTTGCAATCTTTGCACTGAGCTCTGTGGGAAAGACGGGAAACAAGACATGTTTACTATAATTAAACAGGTTAATCATATAATTATCAGGAGTCAGCTTGGCAGAATTAAAGTGAATTAAAACATAGATTAAGCCATGTTATTCCTAAATTTAACAATTTGATTCCATGGTGCTCTCTATATTAGTGTTTTTTTCATAAATAACTGCTTATACTATGTTGTGTTATAATTAGATTTAATTTTCTTAGAACTGAATTTGGGGTCTGTCAAAATTACCCAGTCAACTGTGCTAAAAACTTTTTTTTTTTTTTTTTAAATCTGTAAAACAAGCAGGCAGAGTACTACCTAACAAGTCCTAGTCAAGTTCTGAGTTACCTCAATCCCCATTTTCACTCCACCTCCTAAGGATAACAGCGAGAGTGCCAAATATGGTAAGGGTCCCTTTATGCAAACACTCCAAACCCTTTTGATTCAATAATCTGACAAAACCAGCTCATGCTCATTCTGCTTCTGGTCATGATTCTGACTGGAACATGCTGAGGCCAGTATAAAGAAAAGAAAGCTAGCAATATGAGCTTCATATCCCTAAATAAAATCTTTTCAAGAATCATCTCCAAATTAGAGCAAAACCAGAAAGACAGAACAAAAATGTAGGAAAAGTTAATATAGGCTATACATACAAACAGACTTACCATTCCAAGAATCAATAGTGAGACCCTTTTCAGGATACTGTGCAAAGTACTTGTCATACCTTTTCCACAAAGGATATTACAGAATTAGAGGCAGTTCAGAAAAAGATGTGAAGCAGGATAAGAGAAATGGAAAGTCTCTTGTATGGAGAGAAACTGAAAGGATATTAAAAGTTTACCTTACAGGACATGAATAAAAGGGGCTATGATAGGTATCTGAAATGTTATCAATAATATAGACAAGGACAGTTAGCTTTTTTCCTGTCTTGCAATATAAAAAAGAGGAGGAAGATGCTGTCTACTGCTGGATAGACCGAGAGGCTGAGCTAACAGAACAACACTGGTATGATTTGTGATGAGTAGCCAATTATGCTCTTTTCCTACCAAGGCTTCAACTGTTATTACACAATAACAAAGCTAGAAGACTAAATCTCTATTGAACATCTGTTCAAAGATCAGTTTTGGAAAACAGCAAGACAGGACCAAGCCGATACCCTAATTCCAAACACTAAATGATAGAAGAGATCAAATTTGGATAAACCACATGACATACACTTGATTTCAGAAATAAAAGTCAGCTGTGAGTTTCCATATCAGTATAGGATATAAGTATTTGTCAGCTTGTCCATATGATAGATATTTGACAAAAGTCTTTCAATGTTGAGGACCCTTCATTCTGTGTAAAACTTGCTTCATTTTGCTAAATGTTCAGCTTCTAAAGAAAAACTATTAATGTTATTAGCCTACAATACCCACATATAAGACACAGAAAAGGATGATGTACTAGGAACCATGCAGCATGGCAGGTTCAAAACATAGGCTGTGGTTAAGTGTCTGCTTTTAGAAATGTTCTAGTTATTGTCTCTGGACATGCACACATTCCCCCACACGTACATATATGAACCCTCCAAACACATTTGTATACTTTGTGGGAACACTCTACATTTGCTGTTTATTTGATTGGATGCATCTGGATACTATAATTTTGTTCACATTCAATTAACAGCTCAGATACCCATCCCAATGACCATGTTTCTCCTCAGTTCATTTTAATAAAAACAGTTTGTTACAACTGCAATGGTTTTCCATGCGTGTACCAGTATTCAGACATTCTAGGGCTGTCTTTTACACTGAAAGCTGTAAATCACCTCAGATGCAATAACTTTTTAAACTGGCTATGGTTCCATGCAACAGATATTACCCCTTGCTTTTATGCAGCTCTAACTAATAAGCCAATAATATTATTTCCCTTCCATGCAATGTTTTCTCTGTAGTATTCGTTCGGCTCATCAGATTCTTCCACCTCTTTGGTACAAATGGGTTAATACCCCTAGCACATTCCTTGCAACTCTAGCCTTCTTTAAAATGTTGACTGTATTGCTTGTCCAGTACTTTCCCTCAAAATTTATTTTGGTGATGCAGGGGAACAGTTGCTCAAAATACCTTCACTCTATTCCCCTTATTGTGATATATTACTATCTATAAACAATTTTTTGTAAAGCTAAACTGGGCAAGAATTGTTTCTTTTCACTGCAATGTTTTTTTTGGGTTGGGGTTTTTCAGATTTGAAGGATGGAACAGACAATCATGAATTTTTCTTATCAACTCCATGTATAAATACATTTTTTTTATATTTGACATTTCTCTACAGATACATTCACTGCTGTGCAACTGCAGTCATCATTTTTTCCCTTCTTTTGTTTCAGAGAGTAATTTGGAACAAACGCTTATTTGTTCCCCCACAATGATTAATGTATCACCTTTAACTTCTGCAGGGGAGTGTACTTGCATGGTTTTTGCAACTGTTGCTGAACATTTACAGAAATGTTAGAGCATTAGGGTACAAATATGCTTGCACATACAAATACAAGTTGAAATTATCTTTTATGGTTTTATTTCCATCTGTTTTGTAAGCCATAGAAGATTTAAAGATTAAGAAGACAAAAGGAAGATGTATAAGTCCATTACTTAATGGGAGGATTGAGGAAGTAGTGAACGGCAAATGGTACACTAAAGTCAACATTATCTTCTTTGGTTTCAATTTTCACAGAAAAAAAAATATCAGACAGTCAACAGACATTTAATATTGTTGATATTTTATGTTAGTAAAGACAGTTAATATTGCCAAATGTGAAGGCAAACACAGACTGGAATAAAAGAACAATATTACAAATATACATAATCCAGAAGTACTGAAACTAGAAGGGAATCAAGTAGTTTTAACTAAAGGTTACATAATGGAAGGAATATATCTTACTATGAACAACTAACTCTGAGAACCTGAAGAAAATGTGTGGGAACCTAGGGAACTGGGAGAAAAAAGGATATATATTACAGTAAAGGGAAAAACATGGACTATGCAATTATAGCCAATCAGCTGAAAGTTGACAACTCATGAGACACTGGAACAAATTGCTAACAATAACCTCATAAGTATCTGAAGAATTGGAAAGTGAGAAACCTACATTAGCTGCTTCTGATGAGGAGCAAGTCACATTCAGTCAGTGTAATTTTTTTTTTTTCTCATAGTAAACAGCCTTGAAAAAGTAGAAATTAGTTTATTAAGGCTTTTAACATAATCTAGTAGGGCATTCTTTAAGCAAATTGAGGAGATTTGGTGTAGATGGAATTACTGTAAAATGGGTGTACAAATCGGAGTGCAAACTTATTTAAAGGAGGAGCTGTCAATAGTTTTCTATCAACTACAAGAAAATTATAATAGGGTTCTGCATAGGTCTGTTCCAGGGCCTGACATAATTATATGCTGACTACCTGTTGGACAGTGGAATGAAAAATAAAATTTAAAAAAATGTGGATAACACTAAATCGAGAGGAATTACAAACACTCTGAAGGACATAATCAGAATTTAAAATCATCTCAGTATATAAAATCCAGTTCCAATCCAATAACAAAAAGCTCAGACATATGCATCACAGGAAAGAAAAATCAAATGATCAAATGCAGTAGTATTGAATGAAGAACAATTTTGCTAAGCCAGCAATAAAACAGAAGAAGCTACAGATTATCGTGGACTGCAAGTTAAATATAAGTCAACAACAGGTTACTGCTGACAAAAAGACTCCATTTTCCCTACCCTTCTTCATAAAACGGGTAGATGTGGCGCTTCGGGACATGGTTTAGTCTAGTCTACCCTTGATTGGTTTAGAGTGGACTTGGTAGTGTAGGTTAATGGTTGGACTGGATGATCTTAAAGGTCTTTTCCAACCTAAATGATTCTATGATTCTATATGTGAGAGCAATTTAAATTTCCTGCCTTCCAACTGATGTCATAATGTCCATATTAGAAAATACATTCACTCATCTTTGGCCTCCCTGTTGAAAGGGTGAGGAAAGCTATGGATACATTTGCAACATCTGTGGTGCTTGTCCTCTTAAGAACAGTACTGAAACTGTACATTAAATGTAATCCAGTCTCTGCATCAGGCCTGTCAGTGCTGGGACATAGCAAGAGTTATTCAGAGCTAAGAGGTTCTGACCAATAAAAATAGTAAAAGCTGGTGCGGGGAAACTGCACAGTACCAGACCATGGAATTGAGAGGTTATTTTGAATGACAGTCTCCAGGACAGCAGCTCTTTTGTCTCCCAGGGTCAGAACCAGCACTTGGATCTCACTTCTGTTTCTCAGTATTTGGCTAGTTTTGAAGATTCATTTGTTTTTCATAAACAACCTAATGATTCAGTAGCAAAATGTGTAAAACTACCTCTCCCTTCATTCCAGTTTAAGAGATCTTAAATATGAGCCTGTAGGGTTTGGGTTTTGAAGCTACCAGCAGAAGCTCATGTTTCTGAAGGTTTTTCTAGCACATTTTGCAATATGAGTAATTCATATCATCTTTAAATAAGTCTATGTGTAATAAATACACTTCTGACTGAAGGAGAAATTCAATAACTAAGACATCAAAGGGCTAAGAAAAGTTGTGGAAACAGAGTGGACTGAACAGATGTAATAACTGCCAAAAATATTTTTCTAATGCATATGTAAGAAACTGTTTATCAATTAATTCAATTTAGGCTCCCAATTCTATGGGAACTCAAATGCCAGTTTTCTCATGTTTTTGGCTCACATAATTTGCTCTATTTTCAGTGAAAGAAAACTTGTAAATTGGGTCCATTGACGCTACTTAGGTGAACCACTGAAATCAGCACTCCTGTCTCAAGGTTGCCATGGGCATCATACCTGGGAATTTATTGACAGGTACTAAAGCACAAATCTCCACGTATTCTGACCAGAACACTGATTATGCTGCAATTCCCTGATACAGTAATGGGTCATAGAAAAATATAACTATTCCCTTTTATAAATGAAAAATGAGCAAGAGCCTGGAGTTGTTTTCATGAATACTTGAAGACACAGTAGGAAAGAAATAAGGTATTTCCATTACCTATTCCTATATTTAGACCCCTTGGTAGTGTTACACTTCAGCTTTTTTTGCATCTTATCTTTGTGAATGAAGTGAATCTGTCTTTTTAAATACTTATATTGTTGGGTGTTAATAATTCAAGTTCAATATCAAGATATGAGGGCCATTAGCTTAATGAGTCAAGCTGTACTGCTCTGGCTTTCATTAAGTAGCCATACAATAGCATCAATATTAAGTTATGAAACAAGACTTTCAAAAGGGAACATTCTAACAGCAGAAAACCTCCACAAGGCAAGGGAGGTAAGAAAGATGGAAATAGCTATCATTGCTCAACTGGAATTTGTGTTTCAGTTTGACATGGCTGGTTTATCCACTAATAGGTAGAGGAATAGGAAAATTACTGCTCTAAAACATGGGTAAAGCAAATCAGGTGGCTAAGCAAGAGCTTTCCAGACACCATGAGCCACCGACTTTCCTTTTTTCTGCATCTCCATAGAGAAAAACACTTATTTGCCCATTTCCAGAATGGGAAGAAGGCTAGAAAAGTTGTTACTATAGATTTTTCCCCTGAAATCCCTAGATTATTTAATTCTGTAATAGCTGGGTTTGTCCTTGAATTCTTGTTGCAGAACATTCAGCCATCAAATTAGTTTATAGGTGAGATGGCACATTTTACAATTGCATAGATCAGTAGAACAATACCATGTTACTGTTTTGCACAAACTAACTTAGGGGGCAGGCATATTTCCTTGCACTTTAGCTGGTAACACCAGTGCTGCCATATCTTTACCCTTTGAAAACAAATGCATGATTCTTCTTACCTGATTAGTAAACAGTACCGCCTTGAGAACACTGCTATCTGCCATGGAGTAATGAAACTGAAAATGGCAATTCTTGCTGGAGCAACGACACATGGAGCTGTTAAGATAACCACTTTTATATGATGCATTGTTGTTAGCTTCTAAGTACTCAAAATGGCCTGAAAAATAAAATTTTAAAAAGTGCATTTCTTCACAAAACGTATATTTTTTTTTTTTTCCTCAGTCTATGAAAATAAGGACTGCTTTTCTGTAATTAAACCATGGACTCATCACAGCAAAAATGGAATCCGATCGTCATGCTGATGATGCGACTTGGATGTCATGTAAGTGTTTCCTATTAAAAAGATAGATATATATCTTCATTTGACTCACAGATAACCCCAGCAACCAAGAATTATGTCAGCTGATATTATCTTGAAGTTGTTACTTTGCATGTTAAAACCTGTAAGCAGTCCCACGTTCTGCTCAGCCTCCTCACATTTACCACCATTCAATACCTAATTGCAAATATATTTGGAAACTGGGCTTTCTTCCTTCTTCTGCTGTGGTTTCCAGAAAATATGCTTTTTACAGTAATACTTCTGTAGACTCTTCAAAACTAAAAAAATTTAAAAAAAAAAAAAAAAAAAAAAGAGGAAGGTGGAGGCGGCAGGGGGAAGTATTCTACCTTACTGCTGTGGGAGGCAGTAGCATCTCCACCATGTAATCAAGGTCTTTACTTCTAAGCCAGAATTTCTGTAACAAAATGTTGGAAGCATAATTTCTTTCCATCTGAAGCAGAAAAGCAATTTGTGCTCTTCTTGACCTGCTGCCCCTTATAAAAGCATTCCTACAGAGATCTAAAAGAGTACGCCATCCCCTCAACAGTCTCTTATTTGTCATAAATAAAAAGGCTAAATACTTTTTACCAAATATAGCAGGTCTTTTTTTCCTCCTCCTGAGTTACTGAATATTTTGCTGCCTTCTGAAGCAGCTGTTAAAATAATAAACAAGGACTGATTAAAGGTCTTAAGTCCACTGTTTCTGTGTTCATGTCTCTAAATACAACTTATCTCAAATGCAGGTGTTACACAGTTTATTTCATGCTGAAGGGAGAAAGTGTCATTTCACAAGGAAAATCTTCATTTTTATAAGGGACCGCATTCTTTTCCTTTTGTTGCCAGTTTACTCTTTGTGTTGTGCGGCAATTTACACTGAAATATGTGGTTGCAATTTCATTGGAATTAGGTTTGCAGTTTCATGCCACAGCAGCTAACCTTGGTATAAGGAAGCATTATAGATTTAACCCAGCGTTCTGTTTGACAGAGATCAACAAAGCACTTACACTTCTATGACTACTGCTTTGTGAAGAAGATAAATATGCATCAACATTAGAATTTACGCTACCGGTTCTTTAGCTAAATTCAGGATTCTCTAATGCCATTATAAAACCAGCCAATTTTATTTTCTGAACCTAATGATAATTAACATTCTTTTGCCTCTTTCAGTTCAAGTTCCTGAATCTTTAAAAACAGGACAAAGTGGAGTTGGCATGATTTTTAGATAAGAAAGCAATTGAACAACACTAGATAAACAAAAGTTCTATGAAACATCCAGAATGATTGTGTGCCCACAAGGAATACTGACTGTTCTTCAGGGAATATATTTTATGCAAGTATTGTGAACGCTTCTGAGACAAACTGAGGCCTGCTTTCAGAAATGAAGGCTCCAGAAACTCGTGTCCTGAAAATACTTATTTTTTGTTATTATTTTTTCCCTCTTTTCTATAGTCTGTAAAAGTAGAACCATGTCAGTTTAACTGGATGAGCAATAAACTGTGTTAAGGTACTTATTTGTTTCCCCTTTTCCAGGGAATTTGTTTTTTTTTAATTACCTTTTGCCAACATTTATCGAGTAGCTTTCTAAAGACTAACAGTATTGGGAATGTTTTTCTTTCATGTGTTACAAACTTTACAGCTCTTCTCTAATGTCTGAATTTCCCTCAGTCCAATACACTGCATAGCATATTATTGTGTTTGTGCTCTGACCCTCTTTATGTCTTGTTCTCTTGAATTTGCATGACTTTCTGTTTCTGAAGTGCCAAAGTTCCCCATGTTTTTAGAAGTAGAGCAGGAATTCCAGAAAAGCTACTTCGTTCCTGCCAATGTGGTAGTAGCGTTATTGAGTCACAGAGATGTGTGCGTTTCTGGCAAGAGATGCTGGGATGGTTGCCAGGATAAAGAGTGTAGACTTTAATGTCTTTCCATAAAGCCTTTTATTTTCCCCATGTGGCTGCTTAATCAGGTTTTAGATAGATGGTCTTGTTTCTTTCAGTTTTGAAGAAAAATTTTGTCTGTCATAAGCAAAATCTTGGAGTCCTGTGGAAAGATCAGCCACTGACTGCAATGGAGCCAAACTAGAAGCACAGCTTACAACTTACTGCTGAGGTGGCTCAGCATCTTCTTAGAGCTGGGATGGGCTACTGAACCTGCCTGTATCCTGCTACACTGAAAACTCAAAGCCTATAAATATTTATCTTCTTGGCTCCATCTTAACCATATTCTGACTCAAATCTTTTGTCACTCCTTCTGCTTTAATCCATGATTTTTATTTCACAATCTACACAACCTTGAATCTATGCTACTAGTTTTAAAGTAAACTGAGCCTTCAGTTAAAACTGAGCCACAGAGTGGGACCTTTCTTTTTCTGGCAAGTTCTCTTCCCCAGCAGAGAACTGTTCAATCTCTGAACCAATCTGCTGCAACTTTCCCACTCAAACATTTTGAGGAAAGAAGAGGTCTGATCCGAACTGCCATTGTTTCTACTCTTTAAATGAAAATTTTCATGAACTCACAAGCCATGGATGAAATCTTAAAGAAAGAAGAAGGAGAAAAAAAAAAAAAAAAAAAGGGTAATGTAATAGAATCACATAATCTATTGATTTGGCTGTTTTTTCACGTTTAAACTTGAGGGATTTTTACGATTAGTTATCTCAAATGTTGAGTTTAAAAGCCATGGTACTTCCTTTGATTTATTTTTACATCTCATAATCTTTATTGTTATTATGCAGAGAATTGGTTTAATTAGTTTCCTATTAAAGAAGTGTTACCCCAGATACAGGAAACTAGATTAACCCAATGTAAGAAGAAAGCACTATGGAAACTACATAGCATGCTGGAAATATAAATAAAAAAACCAGCAACAACAACAAAAAAGTATTTTCTGAACAGTATTGCAGGGGAATAAAAAACCTCTGTAAGAACTTTTGACACTAGAGAAATTAAGAGGAAAAGTTATAGAGAAAGTGCCTACAATACAACACTGGAGAAAAGAAGCAATAAAAGAACAAAGAAAAAAAGTCTGCAAAGGACAGAAAGTATTTTATTAAATTTAAGAATACCAGGAAAGAAGCATTATTCAAAGCCTATAAGCAATCCTTTCTTTATAAATATAATTGTCTAGGCTTCTGCTTTACAATTTAGTTTCTTACCTCTCTTCTATTTATAGAAGTGAAAGCTTTGATCAAAATCAGAAACTAAAGCTCAGTCAAACTCTATTTACATTGCAAGTTTGAGCCCTCGAGCATGGCATTTTTGCAGTTTGCATACCATTTCTTTAGTTTTTAGAATTGTAGTTAATATTCAGCCTCTTCATTTATGCCCCAACAAACTTGCATGAATAGAAATACTGAATGTATTGAGAGGTGAGCGACCATAGTTCAGTTTTTCAATACTTTCTAATGTTAATGATGAATTAAATTCTGTTTGTTGTTTTGACACTTATTTCTTCTCACATTTTCTTTTTTCCTTTATGACACTGAAACACAGGGAATGTCCCCAAGCAGTTGTTTGTGCTATATGTTCAGCCTACTCAGCTACCTGTTCCTATTTACACAAAAATGCCCAAGCACCTATACAACAGACATTTCAAAATATGTTCTGTTTCAATAGACGTTGCTTGTGACCTGGTCCTGTAAATGCCATTTACAGAATTTCAGTATCTTTTCTGTTAGCACAATATTTCCATAAAAAGGAAATCCATATCCAGTACTAGCCCCTGAGGTATCGCGTTAAGGTATGGCATTGATACGACTTTCAGGAAGGTGTTAAAAATAAAATCAGATTAAAAGTCTCTGTTAGATATCCCAGTGGAAATTGAAAGGTGGTGTGACTTCTTTTCTTTCTCTCTTTTTTCTTTTTTTAAAGATGAGAAAAAAATATGCTTTATTAGCCTATATGCTCTCTGTTGTACATAAAAGTTAACATACAAAAACTCATCTTAACAGAGTGTATAAACTCAAGCACTTTTGCTTGCTATTCCATTATAATTTGACTTATAATTACTAGACTGTGTTGAAATGCATGCTAAAATTTATTTTAAAAATCTTTCTAAAATGAAACAATATCTAAGCATTCATTCTGTTGCTATCAATGAGATGTACTCCATTTCTGTGGGCTCAGATTTCAAGCAGTAATCTCCACGCTATCAGTTCTTCAAAGCTACATCACAAATTACAACTAGTGCTACTTAACCCCTTTGAAGGGAGTCTCAGTAGACAAGCTAAACACTTAGCTGGCAAGGAGATTCTATTTCACATTACAACACTTAGACATTTATATCTATTAAGCTTTCTAAAACCTTTCCCATAAACCCATAGACAAGTACTACACAGTGACTTCAAAAACAAGTACTGCTCTTTACTTCCAAAAATTGCAATTGGATAACTTTTATGGTGTTTAAGAGTAATAAACTATTTTGTATAATAAATGTTTCTCTACAGCTCCCCTAATTAAAGGTTTGAAGTGAAATTCCTGACTGTATGCTCAAACATAGTAGTACTACACAAGTAAAACTGCCAAGTGTCAAAACCAAAGAGAAAAAACACACACAAGGTCTGTGGGCTTAGATGGATTTAATTTAGCTTCACCAACTTGTTGCATAGATCTCACACAAAGAATTAACTGGAGAATAAATCAATTATTAGTTTATATGGGAATTCTTACATTGCAATCTTTCATGCTTTTCCAGCACCTTTGTTCACAGCGCCCTTACTAGATGGTCAAAGCAAAAGCTAGTTTAAGTACAAAATACATACAATTACTTTCATGGTTTTGTCAATTACTTTTCATGTTTTTCTCCTGTTTCTACATTGGGTCACCACCTTGTCCTAAAATGCACCATATTCTTCATGACAGCTAGTAATTGTGCATTAACTTAAATTTCTCACCTTCAGTATTGTTGCTCCAGTCTTTCAGGAAGGAACAGGAGGCAATCTTGTGCCCAGCTTGCAGTCGTGTCCACATAGCAGGCTTAGCCGGCTGACCTGAATGCCACTCACACATGTCAAGCTCAAAACTGGAAGTCTGCGGTGCTAAAATACAAAGAAAAACTATCACTTCTTAAGAAGTCATTATTTATGACACTACTTCCTATTAGAAACATATGCTTACTAAACTATTTGACAACATTTCTGTCTCTGGTTACTTCAAAAGCACTGTGTGTCACTGAGTGCTGTCTAGTATTTCAGGTTGCTATCTTTAACAATACCATTAAAAAAAATATCATTCCCTAAAGATGGATGCTTCTTTCAAAGCAATGGAATGGTATTTATGTTAGCCAGTCATTGCAGCCTTCATGAATTCACTTCTGCAGAGACAGTTACCAGGAAACAAAAAAATGGCATGTCAGAACAAGAAATACCTATTTACTTTTCTAGATGATAGCTACAGAAAAATCACTTTTAACTGAGAATTTAAACTCAGCAGCATCTCCATAATAATTGCAATAGAATGCTTTTTCTTAGAACCACAAAGTTTCTGAATACATCACCACCTATTTTCAAGAACTTTTTAAGGGCAAATCATGCCTGAGTAATTTAGTGGCCTTCTACAATAGAGTGACAGCATCAGTGGGCAAGGGAAGAGCTATAGTTGTCATCTACCTGGACTTCTAGAAAGCCTTTGATATGGTCCCCCACAACACTCTTGCCTCTAAATTGGAGAGATATGGATTTGATGGGTTGACTGCAGGATGGATAAGGAATTGGCTGGATGGCCATGTCCAAAGAGTTACAGTCAATGGCTTAATGTCCATTTGGAAAACAATAACGAGTTTTATCCCTCAAGGGTCAATACAGGGACCAATACTATTAATTATTTTCTTTGTGATGTAGACAGGAGGATCGAGTGCACCCTCAGCAAGTTTGCAGATGACACCAAGCTGAGTGGTGCAGCTGACATGCCAGAAGGATGAGATGTCATCCAAAGAGACCTCGGCAAGCTGGAGAGATGGGCCCGTGTGAACCTCATGAGGTTCAACAAGACCAAGTGCAAAGTGCTGCACATGCGTCAGGGCAATCACCACTATCAGTACAGACTGGGGGATTAATTGATCGAGAACAGCCCTGCTGAGAAGGACTTTGGGATACTGGTGGATGAAAAATTGGAAATGAGCTGGCAATGGGTACTTGCAGCCCAGAAAGCCAATCGCATGCTGGGCTGCATAAAAAGAAGTGTGGCCAGCAGGTCAACAGAGGTGATTCTTCCCCTCTACTCTGCACTCATGAGACCCCACCTGGAGTACTGCATCCAGCTCTGGGGTCCCTGGAATAAGACAGACATGAACCTGTTGGAGCAGGCCCAGAGGAGGGCCACAAAAATGATCAGAGGGTTGGAACACCTCTCTCATGAAGAAAGGCTGAGTTGGAATTGTTCAGCCTGGAGAGGAGAAGGCTCTGGGGAGACCTTGCTGCCTTTCAATACTTAAAGGGGGTTTATAAGAAAGATGGGAAGAGGCTTTTTACCAAGGTCTGTAGTGACAAGACAAGGGGTAATGGTTTTAAATTGAGAGAGAGTTGATTTAAATTGCCTATAAGGAAGAAAACTTTTCCAGTGATGGTGGCGAGACACTGGAACAGGTTGCCCAGAGAAGTTGTGGATGCCCCATCATCAGAAGTATTCAAGGTCATGTTGGACAAGGCTTTGAGCAACCTGATCTAATGCAAGACATCCCTGCCTATGTGAGTGGGGTTAGACTGGATGATCTTTAAATGTCCCTTCCAACCCAAATCATTCTGTGATTCTATGATTCTATGATGCTTGAGATGCCAGATAGTAACTGCAAAATTTTGTGTAATTCATAACAGCTACAGAAAGTAAGCCATGATTTTACGCAGGTTTACACTATGATAATGGAAGTTCCATTTCTTAATATTATTGCAGGGGAAAGGTAATCTTCTGGTTAAAACAGACTTTTAAATACCAGTCAGGGTATCTCAGAGAAAACATGGAGATTCCTAAGTGTATGGGGGAAACAATTTTATGTCAGTATACATAGACATTACTGTCTACTGCATCTCAGAGTTACTGTGTTTTTCACATAACTGACATCTCAGTGAAATGTCCTGTCCGACTGATGCTACAAACCTCTCATTTCTTCCTTGTTCCAGTGTTGCATAAACATGTACAATTTTTTCAAACCATGTGTATTAAGTGAGAAGAGCTTGTGGAAAAGTTATTTTCCATGGAAAATGCAAAATTCCAGAACGGTCCAGAAAAGAATGGGTTTTGTTGAATTTCAACATTTGAAAAAAGTTGCAAGTACACTCAAAAGGAAACAAGCTCTTCTTTAAACACTTTAATTATTGAAACAAAATATTTTGATTCTTTTTGCATTTTTTTAATTTAGTTGCAAATATTTCTGGGGTTGGTTGTTTGTTTTGACAATAATCTCAGTCTTTTGGGACAAAACACCCATTTTCCAGCTCTTAATTCTGCAGCATGTCAGGGTTTACACTGAGACTCAAAATCATGAAGGGTACATTAAAAATGCAAATTTTAACTACAAATTTCATGCAATTAAAGTGGTCTTCATTTAAAATCTTCTTATCCAGACATTTCATAAGGCCTACAGAAAAAAATATTTCAAATCCAAACAACCATTAATCTGACCTTTTGTTTTAATTATTGAAAAATATTCAGTAGTAAAATTCCTCTTTCAGGGAGAAAATTAAGATACTTTGACCCTGGTTTTGGCTGCTGTGAGCAGTCTAGGTGTCGCTTAATGAAGCTGACTTTTCCTAATGGGGAAGCACAGGATAAGAAGTGGCTTTTATTAGAATATACCTGAGGTACTTAACAGTGCAGCAGCTCAATCTGTATGCTACAATATATACTGCAACAGCTGCCATGTAAGGTAAGTTTATGACCTATATTTATAAGTGGTGAGTACACACTGTTTCTGTTTCAATTTTGATTTTTTTCATCTCTGAGACAGTATTTCACCTGTATAGCTGATTTTTTTTTCATTTTTGTTTGCTTTAGAAGCACTTTGTTTATGAAAAAAGCAAATATATTTGTAGAGAGAGATTTATATCCTCCTGCGGGAACAGGTTAAGCAATTATACAGGTTGCTAGAAACTAACTGCATTCTTTTCCATTTTAAACCTGCCCTTTCATCTGCAGAAATCCTCCAAGGAACAGAAAGAAGTTGGGAGAATCACACATCTGTCCTTCTTTCATTGTCAGTTTCAAATTCATTTTTTCAAAGCAGCACATTGCAAACTTACCTGAGTTCATAGACAAGTATGCCCAAAGTTTTAAATTAGCATCGTTGCTCATTTAAGTAGTATTGCTAGAAAACCTCCACAAAATAGAAAAGCGAGATGGACCCTCACATGAAAATATTTATGTAATATTTGCTTCTATATTTTTCTACTGTAAGAAAGTTGAAACGTGAAGAGACTTACATGACCAAGTTTAGTTACCTGAAACTTCATTTCCCTGGTGTAGATCCCCTTTGAAATAAATCTATATGCCTGCCTGAATCATTACATTAGGATTTGTATCTTGCTTTACTATGATCTGCCAACAATCGCTCAGCACTCTAATATGTTAATAACCATGTGCATCTATTTTCAATAGTTTTTCCTACTGGGAAATCTAGAGAGCTTTATTTTAGACCACAGTACACAAACCCAATCATGTAACCTAGCTTGTTCTGTGTCAAATACTGCATTCCATACCTCAAGTTAAATTTAAAGACCGAACTGAACCCTCAGTGCCTGTGCTGGGACTCAGAGGCAGGAAAACAAAAGGAGGAGCTCTGAATCAGGACTGTGCTCACCTGAGGATGTGACATAGATGCCACAGTGCAATCTTCTTGTGTAATACAGAGCAGCAAGAAATCTAATTTATGCTAGGATTGGTAGTATTCCTTTCCCATGAAAATACGTTGTGTTGAAAAGAGAAATAGGAAATGTTTTCCTAAAGAATTGCAACATGCAGGGATGGTCTGGCTGCAGAGCTGACTCGCCTGACATTACAGCTCTTGGATGTAACAGAGCAGGACAAAATAGCCCCACTACACAGCTGAGGATCAGGAACTTCATGTGTTTAAAAATGTGCACAAGTGGCTTGGAAAGCTCCCTAAAGTCAGCTCCAAAGCTTTTCCTGAGCTGGCTGAATACATCAATTCTTTGGCCAAAACCAGTAGATCTTTTCTGCCCACTGAGTCCTTAGTGCTCTCCTGGCTGCAGGAAGCTACATTTACACTGTACCAGATTTCTTAAGGTACTTATTGTCATTCTTTGTAACTGTGTTTAGATGTGATAAGACAGATGATGGTTTAAAGGAATGAAAATGAGCCAGATGAAAACACTTATGGAGTTAAGAAAGCCTTTGAATACCAAAAGGCTTTCCTTTGTGTTTTCTCTTCTAATCCAAGGGAAAGACAAAGTAAAAGGATCTGTCTCCTGAAAAAAAGGTATTCTTACCACATGCCAGAGAACATCCTTCACTAAAAGTAATATCATCAATGGCAACAGTTTCATCTTGTCTCTGGGTCTCCACCATCCCCCAAAAGATGACCTGCAGAGATTAACAGCAAATCAACAAGAAATGGCATTCACCAGTGTCACAGACAAGAGAAAAAAAACTTTCCAAGACACACCAGTCTAGTCCATAGAATTTCTATGAGAAATATGAGTACTCAAATCATGCACTTAACAATTTTGGAGGATTACCATCCTGGCTTTTTCACATATCTGTGGCTTGTCAACACACATATATAGTCTAACCATCTTACTCAAGAGTGAAGTAGCATTTAACAAGAAGTATCTGAAAACCACAATAAAATACATTAAAATCTAAGCAAGGATCACAACAGTTAAGAAATAGAAGTGATTTTGTGTTTTATCAAGCCATTATTCCACCAGAGACTGGAAACGTGAGCCTTTTCTGGTTGTTTTCAGAATTTGTCAGAGACCTGGAGCAAAGTCAGAGCAACAAACACAATTAGTCAGAAGCCTTTCACCAAGATTTTAGCCAAAACAAACCTTGAGAAGTACTTGGTCAACTGTTGTTCTGCTCTAATGTTACAACAGTGGGGTTTGGGTTTTTTTTTTGTTTCTCCTAACAAAGTCTTCTATACGCAAGTTACAAATATTTTACATTTCCATCCTAAGTGCAGGTTTCAATCTACATTTGTAAATGTAGAGACTACCACAGTTTTTCTGCAATGATGTAGAAGGGGACTGATCAACCACAGTCCTTCAGAAAACCCAACAAAAAACCACACAAATCAAAACAACCCAACAAATCAATCGTATGAATAACATTCCTTAAATTATTCCCTAGCCATATCTTGGGATGTTACAGCTCCAGGGTTTTCCAGAGTCCTGGAGGCACAATCTACCTAGAGGTACATTCTACCTCCTAATAGTGAATGTACAGAGTTAGCTAGATAATGTTTTCAAATATTACCTTTACTGTTCGGGGCAATTTTGTGCATAGTTTAAGAGATTATAGCAGAAAACCTGCATTTATCCTATAAATTAGCATCAAAAATACAGTATTCCAATGTACAAGATAGATGAGACAACTCAGCCAAGGATATGACCATTATGTTATGAGTAGAGGGTTTTTTGGGTGTGGAGTTTATGGGGTTTTGTGTGTGTGTTTGTTTTTCTGAAGCTGTAGTTGACCTGCACAAGAAGTGTGGCAGCCTGGAAAGACAAATTATCTTGGCATTATACGTCCAGAGAGAGGTGTAATGTTATCTGCTGTATCACCAGTGAGAAATCCATGTCTAGTTTGTTTATATACACACACACACGTATACAGATATTTAATTTTTGTTTTTAAACAAAGTAAAGAGAAGGATGGCCAGTAACCACTTTCTCTGGCAATTATTATAAGACCATTGTTAGCAGACACATGGACAACTGCATTTTCTAATATAATATTGTTAAGAAATAATATCACCCTGTGTGTTCATACTATTTTGATCAGCTGTAGCACAGTGGAAAGAATACAGTTGATTGAAATCCAGAAATGTTTGGAATTCTTTTGATATAATGATGTATTTCTTGGATGGTAGATGATGTCTACTTGGAAAGAATAACACTAAACATTTATGGCATCATAACACATTCAATAATATATTTATATGACTGACATGCAGTACCCTGGAGACTTGTTGATTTGATATATTTCAGAAAACAATATTTCGAATTGTTGAATGTTGCTGCAACAACATGTATAGTTAACGTGTACTTTGGTGACATCACCAATAAAAGGACAGATAGCATATTCATGTTGTCCATTTCTATGATTACATGGTTTCAGATAAGGTTCTAAAACAATCCAGTGCACTCTTTTGCAATTAGAAACACAAGAAATATTATTTATTATCAAGGATTTGACAAGTATTTGACCTTCTCACAGTGATTTTTTGTTGTGAAGTCAAAATCTAGTTATTAACAACTTCATTTATAATATATATTTCTATATAGCTTGCAGTTAAGGCTTCATAGATTTTACTTTTAAGTGAGACAAAGTGATTTAGACAATGCTAAAGAGGTGCTATCTCACTTTGCTGGCGCAAAATCAGAGGTGGCTTCAAGTTCATATTCCGTTGGAGCACACAAAATATTTAACAACTTGTGTTTCCTCCAAACTCATGAACAGTTTGTTTACTTGGTCAATATAATCAAAAGCATGGATTTAAGAAGCTTGCTTTAAATGTATATGTTATCAATGTCTCTACAAAGAGGTCCCTCCTGGCTGATGTTGTAGACATTCAACAGATCCTGGTATTCTGAATAGCCAGAGAAGTTTCTCCAATGATAAAAGAAAACAGCTATTTCTATTTAAAAGCATTTGACTACAGGAGGGGAGTCAGATGCTCTGAAGTCTCTGAAAGGTTTACTACCGACTGATCTAGGAGCAGAGTCAGTGCTGCAACTCTGAACCCATCTCTCCAGAAGAGTGTCAGTTTTATTCTTTTCTTCATTGTGTCTTAACTTCCTCACTTCCATATGACAGAAATTATGTTAGATGCCTTCAGCTGCTCTCGGGTCTAAAAAAAGATTACCTGGGCTTTATCTGGCACAGATACCCTCCCCTGAGGAGTTCAGTCCAACAATAACCAAACTGACTCCCATCCACATTTATTTGATCAAGAAATTGTTCAGTTTTCCCTCTCACACAAAGCCTTGAGCTCCTTCAGTAATGAAAATGTCTACTTAATGACACTATTTGCTCATAACTGTAATTAACAAGTGCTGCCTAAATATGCAACGTCTATGGCCATCAGAACAAATTAATGTTGCAGCCCCATTAGTGGCAAGGAAAGCTGTACTGGGAATGTAGGTGCGATCTAACACAGGCTGAGCTTCCCCCACAACTGCAGCCGTGGGGACAGATTCCCAGTGCAGCAGCAAAACCCGAGGTAAAACACAGGAATCAGTCATGAAGACAAAAGCAAACCCCAAGCCCAGAACTTAATGAAGTCTGTGAGACAGAAATTTGTTCTCAGTAGAACAGGGGGAAAGTAGTTTAGGAGAGCAAACCATGATACAGTTCTCAAAAACCCAGCCAAAACAGACATACAGAGCTTGTCATGTGTTGAGTAATTAAAGCAGTGGTAATCTTTGTATTTCAGAATTCCTTACAGGTGGAGATTTTTGAAAGACAAAACCAAATCCCCTATCCCATAAAGATAATCAAGACTTTTTTTTTTTTTCAGTAGGAAGAGACGAAATTATTAAATAGGCAATGTCAAAATGAGCAAAGAAAACAAGTGGCAGAGACTGATTTTAATTAAAATCTCACTTCAAGTGTGCTTGCAAAATTGACAAAAATACTCAAGCACCCTATTTCAAAGATATTTCTACACCCAAAAAAAAGTACTTTTTTTCCCCCATCCATTTTTTTTTCCATAGAAACTGTAATCATCAAAATTTTGTCTTGAAAAATGCTATAGGTAGCCCTGTAGGCTAAAGATCTTGCCATATCAAAAGAAAAAGTGCGAAAGAGCAAGTGAATTGCATTCACTTGCACGACCAGCGATCTTGCAAGTCATCACTGGAGGCAAAATATGCAAAGAAGAAAGTTTACTCAGCTTCAGGCTCTAGGTTTGGCGAGTGCCCAACTACATTTCTTTAGTCAATTGTAATGATTACTGCACTAAGTTTGACACATGCCTCTTTAAAGCTGGACTGTGCCCATCAGTTCACTTTATAGAGGCCAAAGGATAACAAGGTTTGCAAGCAACAATCTCATCAGGATTTGATTCAGCAATTTAGAGGAAGAAGATGCCATATCATATTAACCATTCCCAGATTCAATTTTCTAAACAATATGAAGGATGAAAAAGTAAATCTAGAAGTAAACCTTTCTGGTACAATCTCAGTTTGTTGTACATACACTCATATCAGGTAGAGGTAAGATGTTGACAAGCAACAACATTGATACTTGTGTTGAGTTAGGTACAGGTATTTTGTAACATACATGCTCAGTCAGGGTTGAGCGGGCAAGTATTACTTCAAAAATCCAGATCTCGTTGAATGCTTTAGCACAATGTTGCCTCTGCAAGTCAAGTAGTTATGTTACTCATATGGTTTATTGACATGAGATTGTGCTCTCATGCCTTCAGGTTTGTATGCTTACCAACCTTTCACAGTAACTACTGCAGGAGGAAACGCCTATGATTTTCTTTTCCGCTCCCCACTTTCCCTTCAGTATTATGCATAACAGTGAGTATACATCATCCACACGATATTATAGCCCTAAGTTACAGTTACTGTGCTAATGTTTTGTGTAAATGCGCATGTAAAAACATTTAAATAGCCTATGAGACTTGCATTGGTTTTCAGCAGCTTTGAGCGAAATAAAACCATATGCATGTGTTCCTTGACAAAAGCTCAAGGCTACAATGAATAGTTAAGTACATTATTTGTCACCTGAAACATCCCTATGGAACAGTATCTTATGGTACAGAATGGTATTTCCTATATAAATTAAACCTTGAGTTTATTGGTACGGTTAGATTGAGGCTAAGGGAATACTATATTGAAAGTTAAGATCCTGATTATATAACCTCTATGGACAGGTAGATAATTTATGATGCAAAGAGACTGATTGTTTTATTTAAGACACATGCACAGTTTAAGTAAGGTTTGGCATTAGTTTTAACACCAAGAGATAAGAACAGGCAGTATTTGTTAATGCCAGCTATGAACTTCCAAACGGCTTCTCTCTTTTATCTTATGATAATGCTTTCCATTTACAAAATATTTAGTTTTATTAAAAACCCCACAATTTATAAACCATTTAACAAATGCAATTTATAGTCACCTCAATTTACCAACCTCATATTTTTCAGTGCTATTTATTGAGATGGTATTTGCTTTCCACTGATTTTGCAGTTCTCCTGAAACTTGCCAGATGTTTGTAATAGTATCTTCAGAGTGCTTTTGAAGCCCCACCATCAATGTTCCACTCATTTGACTGATCCAATAATGAAATGTAATCTAGGACAAAAAAGGTCTCATTATTCCAGGGACGTACTATGACAAGCAATGAAATACAAGGACTATGCATCAAAATACCTGGCAAATGTGTTCTTCATCTGTTGGAAGGAAAACATTGGTCCTTAAAGTTGCAGAAGAGGATCGCATTTCAGAAGACAATGAGAGGAAATAAGCTATTAAAAGGAATAAAAAAAGAAATCTTAGAAGCTTGGAGAAAAGTTATATAAAATATAAGAGTAAAACAAGAAGAGGCATACACACAGATATGAATTAATACTTCAAGAGCCAACTAGAAGTTTTTCCCCAGGTAAGATTCATATCACACTTATAGCCATTGTGTGCCAAGCTTTTGTTCATATTAATTATTGACGTAGTATTGCTCCACATTCCT